CGGCCAGCGCGAAGCGGAAGCAGGAGGAGAAGCACCTGAAGATGCTGCGGGACATGACCGGCCTCCCGCACAACCGAAAGTGCTTCGACTGCGACCAGCGTGGCCCCACCTACGTGAACATGACGGTCGGCTCCTTCGTGTGTACCTCCTGCTCCGGCAGCCTGTGAGTGCGGGGCGGCCGGGCTGGTGTCGGGCCCTTCCCAGGAGGTGGGGGAGCGGGCGGGGAGACCGGGACCCTGCGGGGGCCGGGGAAGCGCTGGGCGGCGTGGGAGGCTGTCGGAGGCGGCCGTTGGGCGCCGGCTGGCGGGCGCGGCGTGGGAGGCTGCGGGCTGGATGCGCTGGGCCGGAGCAGCCGGGCTGGAGCAGCCGGGCTGGAGCAGCCGGGCTGGGGATGCGCTTTCGGTTTTGCCGGGTAAGGGTTTACGTTCTGTGCTGTCTTCGTGGGTGGGACGTGGGCGGGGTTGGGGTCCAGGAGGGGGCGCCCGGGGCGAGCCTCCCTGGTCTCCGCCGAGCCTGCGGCCGCCGCCCTTGCTCTCCAGCTCCCCGGGGCGCCGGGCTGTGTTGGGGGGGAAGACGCTAGGAGGCCGGGGAGGTCCATGCGGGTCCTTTGTGTGCCCCGCCTCTCAGCGGCCCGGGCGCGGCGGTGCGGAGCGAGGCACCTGCTGGGCGCCTGTGGGGGGGGTCGGGGAGAAGCTGGGGTGGGAGGGAGGTGGGACGCCTGCCTCGGCGGTGCCTTTTTTCCTGGGTCGAGAGTACCTAGGTAACTGGGAGAAAGCAGGCACCTAGGAATAGTAGCAGGATGAAAGCATCTTGGTGGCAGGTGTGAATCCCCAGGGAGAAGTTCGAAAGGATTAATTGCGGGAGAGGGAGGCGGAGGAGCAGATTTGAAGCTGTGGGATTTTAGTTTTATGGTCCAAAGAGAGTGTTGAGGAGTTTGGGGAAAGTTTTAATGGCAATGAAGTACCGACTAGGAGCTATGTGGTTCTAAATATGATGGAGTTGTTTGTGAAACTTATCTGTATCTCGTTATCAATACCCGAGTGCCCTGGCTGTACACAGAAATGAGAGCTAGCAAGTCAGCGTGATTTCAGAAAGACACTACCTTCTTGAGTTACTGGGATGATTTCTGTTTGTTCTTCTTTGCTTCATTAAGCTTTATTTTGATAAAGATTTTTATTGCCGTGCAATTTCATATGGAAAATGTACAGGTGGTTTTGGAATTGATAAAATGCTTTTATATTATTATCTTATATTTAAAGTTACTAACAACGTAGCGGTTACTAAGTATTCTTAAAACCTTTGCTTGTGAGATTAATACTGAGACAAAGCACATAATACTTTATGTGGGAAAATTGATTTCTTAAAACTTAGAAAATACAGAACATGTCTAGTAATGTACTATTTGCTTTTTAAAGTTGGGCAAAGAGGCATTATTAGTATTACATGAGTTACTTCTTCAGCAGACATTTTTTTGGTGCCTATTAGGTTGTGTAAAGGCCCTGGGGTGTGCTAATAAATATAGCGAAGTCTTGTTCTCTTGGTTCTTACAGTCCATTGGGGATGCAAAGTAAGAAAAATATCATGGGCAAGTACTATGCTGAACTTTAAAATTGTTTGATATGAGAGTCCTCACGGTTACTTTTAGGCTGTGTAACCAGGGAAACACTCTGAGAAGTTGCCAGTTAATGATATTCTTGAATTACTACAGAATCACAGAGCTGGGTGGTATCAGGTGGGTAGCCTGGTTCATGCATTTCATTTACAGAAAAAGGAGTAAAGCTGGAAAGTTGTTACTTACGTTGGACAATATTGGTTCCAAAATGAAGCCAACAGAACAATTGTAATTGTATTTGATTTTTATTACATGGTTAAGATGTATGTCCTGCTTTTACTAAACACAGGTCCTTTAGTCCATGTAAAGTATTCGGTTTGAAAAAAATCCATATATTTACACTTTCGGATTTCTGACATTTCTGTGTAGTCCTTGTAAGTACAGCAGCAAATACGTAATATCAAGGAAATATTTTCAAATTTCTTCCTAGATACCACATTTCAGAAACATTCTATATAAAAGGATGTCTCAGCATAATGACAATTATTTATCCTAATGGAATTTAATCTGTGGCAGATAGGACTTCATTTCTCTGTTGAGTCATTCCACAAATATTTATTGCCCACTTGTCCTGTGTCATAAGTTACTTGGATCTTAACTGTTCTGTGGAGCGTGCCTTGTAAGTATGTAAACATAGAGTTACAATATATTGTAGTATTTCCTCTCTGTGAATGAGATAGCCATGAAATATGTAAATGATATATAGCTTCTCTGGGAGTTGATGCCTGAGCAAAGACCTTTAAGGACAAATTCTGCTTCATGTAGTTGAAATATCAAGTATTTATGAGCTAGGTATATATGGCTTTGAATCCTGACTCCAAGTATTAGTTACGCAGTATTGAGAATGCCACTCAATCTATTTGAGCTTGAGTTTTCTCATATATGAAACATTGAGGATAAGATTTCCCTTGTAGGTTTTGGGTGTAGATTTGTTTTCAGTATTAAAAATAATGTATGTTAAACATCTCACGTATTGCCTGATACATAGCAAGTGCCCCATAGACGAGAAGCATCAAGGGAGAGGACATTCCATGAGTAAGGGAACAATACTGTATGTGAAAAATATTAAATAAGAAGTATCCTAATAAAAATCTGTCACTTTGGATTTTATGGTTGTAACTCAAAACCGGAATCAAATTGGTTTAAAAATATGAAGGGTTTATTGATTGATTTTAAAGTAAAACTATCCAGTGGCTTAATAGTATTGCCTAGATTTTTCTCATTCAAGTATGGTTGTCCCCAGCTCCTGGGTGTACTGCCTTAATTATGTCGTTGGTCCAATACTTTCAAAAGTTCTGCATTTCCCTCTAATTGGGTTAGCTTAGATCATGCCACAACTGGACACATGTTCTACCCTGACTTCATTGTCACAAGGATCCCCAAATAGAGTTCCCAAATCTGAAATCTAGAATTCCTGGGATGTAGGGAATGAAGACTGGAGTGGCAACCGTCAGATGTCTACTGCAGAACGTTGGAGGGACAATAGCTTCTGAAGATTTTTTTCTTTGACAAGCAATAGTGCAGGAAAATAATTTAGGAAGAATAATATGACTCAGGTTTAATAATTATGTATTTACTGTTTAGATGACGTGGTATAATTGAAAGAATATGAATTTGAAGTCAGATTTTGACAGTGCTTTGTGGCTTAGGTCTAGGTATTAAACTAGGCCACTACATGCAGGTTGGCCCAGATCCACCCTCTTAGCCTCAGTTTCTTTCTTTGTGATAAGAAGATAACGTATAGCTCAGGGTTATTAAGAGGATTCAATGACACGCATACTTACTGTATTTACTTATTGAGCACATACTGTATTTGAGGATAGGGCTAAGCACTGGAGTTACAAATATTGAAATAAGGCATGCTAGCTGCCATTCCTTGATTTACCTGGAAAATATGATACATAGCAAATAGTATCCACTATCATGAATTTTAAATCTTAGGATAGTGACATACCTTCTATCGTTTATACTAATACTTTTTTTTTTTTTTTTGGAGACGGAGTCTCGCTCTGTGGCCCAGGCTGGAGTGCAGTGGCCGGATCTCAGCTCACTGCAAGCTCCGCCTCCCGGGTTCCCGCCATTCTCCTGCCTCAGCCTCCCGAGTAGCTGGGACTACAGGCGCCCGCCACCTCGCCCGGCTAGTTTTTTTGTATTTTTTAGTAGAGACGGGGTTTCACCGTGATAGCCAGGATGGTCTCGATCTCCAGACCTCGTGATCCGCCCGTCTCGGCCTCCCAAAGTGCTGGGATTACAGGCTTGAGCCACCGCGCCCGGCCTATACTAATACTTTTTTTTTTAAAATAAATTGAACTAGCATCTTGTTAATGTTACTAGAGTTGGAGCTAATCTTTCCTGTTTCTTGTTTTCCAGATATGCTTGAATGATGTTCATTCAGAGTATATAACTGAATTTAGATTGTGAAACTTTAAGATGAACTTCAGAGTTAGATGCAGTTAAACTATTTGTTACTGAGGCAGAATGATGAAGGCATCCTGATTGGTTTGTCACTATCTTTTATTATCCTTCTGATTGTGTTTATGGAAATCCCTAAAATTATCAATGGACACTTCAAACATTTAGAATATAGCCAACAGTAAAATTGGCTTTCATGTTAAAGAACTTCTAGTTGATTTAAAGACTAGTTTTAGATTAAATTATTTGTTTTATAGATACTATAAATATTAGTATAATTGATATGTAGTATAAAAGATTGTCCTATCCTTAAAAAGTGATCCATACATTTTTCAGTGAGGGTTTAGATAAAATAATAACATTTGAGAAAGAGGTTGCTGCTCTTAATACCATCTATTTTATGTGGACAGTGCATTTAGGCTTCAAATTTCACAGGTAATAAATGTAGCTGTATAGTAACTTATATTCCATTGAGTCTGTGTACATTTTGACTCTTGAGATGAATATTACAAAAATTTTAATTTTTTTAGATGACAGATGAAAAGAGGTATTTAATGTTTTTATACAATTAGTAGCATTAGGATGGATTGCAAATCAGATGCTCTTTTGGAGCTCTGTATAATATTCAGGACCTTATGAGGTCACAGTGAGCAGGGATTTATATTCTTAATACCTTTTTTACTTTTTTTGGATACTCTGATATGGCCACATTAAGTATTTAGAGTAAGTGGCCAAAATATTTTACACTTCTTTGTGTTTTTTTTTTTTTTTGAGATGGAATCTGTGATCTCGGCTCACTGCAACCTCTGCCTCCCGGGTTTGAGCCATTCTCCTGCCTCAGACTCCCGACTAGCTGGGATTACAGGCACCCATCACCATGCCCGGCTAGTTTTTGTATTTTTAGTAGAGATGGGGTTTCGCCATGTTGGCCTGGCTGGTCTTGAACTCCTGACCTCAGTTGATCCGCCGCCTTGGCCTCTCAAAGTGCTGGAATTACAGGCATGAGCCACCTCGC